TTATTTACTATAAAATTAATATATTCTTCAATTTTCAAATTATTTACAGCGACGGAACTCACGTAGATTTTGACACTGGTTTACTGATCAGTCATGACGCTGAGGTAATTTAATAATGTGTGTGTAATTTAATAATTTCCAATCATTTCTGTTGCAATAAAGCAAACATACATTGATATGATTACAATGAATTCAATCAGCTGATTATAAGGTCAAAATGTGGTTGTTTTTAGGACACGAGCCCTTACAAAAAAATTTTATCAAAATCCCACCACAAGCACCAACGTTCATCTCGTCATTACGGACACGCGGAAACAACGAATCATGGCATGCTTTAATCTTTGCATTGATGACCCCTTGAGCTTGTCAAGGAGTTAACTCGCTTAAACTTTACTTCTGAGATAATCTTGACCACTTCAAGATCATCTCAGAAGTATGAAAAATTGACCTGTAAAAGATCAGAGAAAGGACTATCTGATCAATACATTTGAATCATAGCTCATAAATCTATATTTTGTTCAAAATTATATCAAAAAAACAATCTTATCATAAGATTTTGATAAAACTATCAGGAAATTATTTGTCTCAAATTATTATTCATTAATAGCGATCAGCTAATTAAAAATCAATCTGCTTCACATTTTGATTACGAATCAGTTCATTTTACATTAAAGCTTGTAATTTACACTTATATGTAATCAGATAAAGAAGAAGCTTACTTGATCATGTGGAAAGCTTCCAACAAGTAGTAATTATGTTTTCTATATTTTATCAATTAATAGCGATCAGCCAGAGCGAAAAAACCAGTGAAACTATTTTTATTTGAAAAATATAATAAATTATTGGACAATAATATCACAGCTTGTAAAAATGATGATTTTCAATAAGTAATGTAATTACAGTATAACAACAGTAACATTAATGATAATACAGAGATCAAACAGTAAGTCAAAATTACTTATCGTTATTTAATTAGGATTAAATAATAAGCTTAAAAGTCTAATTCATACTGCCACTCATTACATTATTTATTTATGCATTTGTTATATTTTCATTTTATCGAATTTATGAAATATTTTTAAATTTAGTTACTTATTAAATAAGTTTTTATTTCAAAATTTTATTCGTTTTTTACATTAGATTTTATTGACAATTCTTATCTATTTATTATCAGTCATTCTTATCAATTTCCTAAGCTAATTGGCAGAGTTTGCAAAAACTTTTGCATGAATTCATTTTATTTACTTTCATTTATGCTATACAATTTTTATTACATTCACAAAGTAGTCTATTAATTAGCTTTAATTATTTACAGAATGTGATGCAAAAAAACTGCATAGTATTGGAGGTCGATTATTGCAGTGGTTTAATGATATGCATAAATTGGCAGCTGTTAACTCAGAACTACCGTTACACAGTAGGTCAAATTCATGTATTTTTTTCACTTTTTCCACAAGTAACTTTACAAATTGCTTCCTGAAAAGTTAAGTAAAGTAACTGCTGAAAAAGTAGACTTTACTTCCAATATTCGATTGTAAATTTTGGTAATGAATAATGAACTTTGATATTTGGTTGTAAAGTTTAACAGCGTAAAACTATTTTTTTTGCAAAAATTTTATTTTTTCTGTTTTTTTAATAAATTTTTTAAATAACTCTTTTCTTTCCTATTTTTTTGCCAATTCGTAAATTTTAGACTTACTTTATTTTCTGTGGAATTTGCATATTTTGTTTAAATTTACAAATGAAAGATCGAAGGTAATAAATAAGTATCAAGACTATTTTAATTAATTCTTAATCATACTAAATTCAGATAACTTTTAAATGATCATTAATTATTAAAACTAGAATCTTTACAAAAATATGTACAAAATTTTTATTAGCTCAAATTTATTGAGTTATATATATAGATAGATAGATAGATAAAAGACTGAAAAAACAAAGGTTACTTCATAAGGTGGTGGTGGATCGTTGATGCGACCTTCTTCAATTTGTGTCTCGATTATTTTTTGTTGAGCATTTTTAGAATGCTTGACTATATACCTAAAAAAATTTGCAAATTTTATGAAAGTACTCAAATTTTTTTCTTTTTTTGAAATTTAATTTAGTCCAATTTTGATAAAAAAAGTTTTTATCGGTTTGTTGAGGATATTAAATTTGTTTTTATAGCATTTTGGTACATATAATAAAACATTAATCCAATTTACCACTGTTAATCTGGCAATTATGAGAATGTACAGATCAAAATTTTGAAATGAGAGCAAGAAGAAAATTATTTTCAAGGATTTTCCTCAGAATTCTACCCCGATGGCCCCCCACAGATTTTTATGTCCTGAATGACCTTCTTTGATATCTTTTCTCAGAAGTAACACTGATTGCTCTGGAATATCGAGTCTTGTAATTTTATCACGACTTATAGATATTATTATATCTATAATAGTTTAATACATTCGTACTGATTTTATTTTAAGTAATATTACCGACCAAGAATTCTAGACAACATTAATGATAAGATCAAACGATGACCTTTAAAATGATTCTACACTTACTTAAACGAGTAACATTTTTACATACATGATCTAGAACAACTGATCAAACCAGAAAGTAACGAAACTCAAAACTTATGAGTCATTTTTTCGTGAAATGTGAGGACTTATTAGAAAAGATTAGTTATTAAAAATAACTGCTAACGAAATTGGATTTGCGTACTACAATTTTCAGCTTCTGTGCTGTGATCCAA